CCACCGGAATCCACACCGGACAACCACGTGATTTATAATTTTCCCTCCAAATCCACAGGGATAAAACCAAGCGATGAAAATGTAGTTCCAACTACTCACAAATCGCATAATGATAAATAAACATTAATTTATGTTTCGGGTCCTTCAACAATGGACCGAAAATGTTATTTTCGCTTAGATTCATTCGGCGCTCGAGCTCTCCAATTCTGGCTCCAGTAGCTGGCGCCGCGACGCGGCCAAGCTGCGTACTCCTCAACCGGCGGGGATATTCAAACTCCAGATCCACCCCAGACTCTGCAGAACCGTTGCTCCGAGACCCAAGTTCAGCATCTCAATTCTTGCATCTCATCCCAGTCCTCGTTTAGGCTCATCCAGATCCCCCGATGTGCTCCGATGAACGGTGGAGTGGAATGATTCAACACAAACCAAAAAGATACTCAATAAATAGTTGAACAAAAATCTAGATTTTGACTCTCGCTTCGCTTTCGCAGTGACTTCTCATCTGGATGTTTAAATGAAACCGCAGAACGGTCGAAAGACAAAAATAACACGTTACAATATATACTATACATTTAACATTCATAAAATTGAGGTTCATGAAAAGGATCGAAGCAAACCTGTTATCAGCAACTATAATATTAGATTTAAGGCCTGGTTGGAGGGATTTTTTTCCCGAGTGGCGGTTTTACGCCACCCCAGTTTGCGGTCAAAGCAAGAAGCTTTATCCCGACCATAGCTATGTCGGTAACTGCGGGAATGGCAGGAAACCAGGGTGACATAAAAGTGGGGCTTGGAAGGGGCCCCGCAGTTTTTGTTTCTTATTTTGTTCGTGTTTATTTTTTCCGGTAGATCTCATGTTTCCTATGAAGTTTTCGAGAAATATTCCCGATTTTCGAGAGAATTCTGCGGTTTCTGCGAAAATTCCTAAAATTTCTCCAGTTTTCGAAAAAATTACAAGGATATTTAGAGTTTTCAAACAAAATTCGAGGAAATTCTAGGGTGTCCGAGCACGTTCGAAGAAATTCCTCAGTTTTCTAGGAAATTCCAGAAAAAACTTGGGTTTTCGAGACAGTTGTAGATAATTCTTAGGTTTTCGAGAAAATTCTAGGAAAATTCTCCGGTTTTTGAAAAAATTAGAGGGGGCGGGGTAATATGGAGAACTGAAATAAAATGGACACTCAAAAATTGGCGAAAAAATTTTTTTTTGCAAAATTCAACATTTTAAAAATTGATTCATTGGGCATTATGGACACCTGATAAATCTGTATGGACGGGACTAAAATGAACACTCAAAACATTTTCAATAATTGATTTTTAAAAATTGCTTCTTGGCAAAGTCCACAACTTAGAAATTATTCAAGAGTGGGGTAAAATAGACATCCGAAAAATTTGGTCCTATTCCAAAATAAAGAAAATTTTTAAAGGACATTTTCCAACAGAATCGTGTCGGTATCTTTGTATAAAGAAAAATTAGAGTTGGGAAAGATATTAACAAACAAACTTCGACTTTATTAAATTTTCCATTGAAGTTTGAAATATAAAGTAGCTTTGAATTTCCTGTTTTACTCTTGAAATAACTTTGAAATTATTAATTTTTTTTCAATGATCAATTGCACGCCCTACACATCTGACCTTTTGTTCATTTGCGAAATTTGTAACATGGATACTTTTCTACTCACAGAGGAAATCACCATAAAATAATAGGCGGGGAGGAGGATGAATGAGCAAGAAAAAATTTGATTTACCACCCCCCACGACGAACGTCAAAAATAATTTTTTTTTTCAATTTGAAAAATTAAAATTGTTGAAACATAAAAAATTGAGGAAGAAATCGAGGTGTCTATTTTACCCTGTTTTTTTCTTACGACGCAGTTTCATGAGAATGTGTTGGTTTTTATGATCTTCAAATGAAGTCGGAAGAGTAGATTTGATCAAATTCAACTCATTATTTAAATCTGGTGAAAATATTGCCCTACCCTCCCCTGTAACAATATCTCGAATTTTCGAAAAAAAAAATCGAGGAAATTCTAAGGTGTTTGAGTACGTTCTAGAAAATTCTTAGGTTTTAGAGAAAATTATAGGAAAATTCTCCGGGTTTCGAGAAAATTATAGGCATATCCTTAGCGGACCAAGTTGATAGTTGAACTCCATAATTTCCTGTGTTTGAGAGAAAATTGAGAGTCGGAGTGACGAGGCCAAAAATATATTTTATGCAAAC